GAGCGGGAATGGAACTCCCAACAAAGTGCTCGAGGAATGAGCACGAAGTGAGCAATAAATGAGGCCCTAAAAAGGGACCCAAAAGGACCAACACATGACACGTGGAAGTGTCCGAGATGGACCTGAGATGGAGTCCGAGATGGAGTCTGAGATGGACCGAGACAGAGTCCGAGATGGAGTCTGAGATGGAGTCTAAGATGGACCGAGACAGAGTTTGAGATGGAGTCTGAGATGGACCGAGACAGAGTTTGAGATGGAGTCCGAGATGGATCCAAGATGGAGTCCAAGATGAACCGAGACGGAGTCCGAGATGGAGTCCGAGATGGACCCGAGATGGAATCCGAGATGGAGTCCGAGAAGGACCCGAGATGGAGTCTGAAACCGAGACCGAGACCGGGACCGAGACCGGGACCGAGACCGAGACTGAGACCGAGACCGAGGCCGAGGCCGAGACCGAGACCGAGGCCGAGGCCGAGGCCGAGTCCAAGTCCGAGCCCGAGTCTGAGTCCGAGTTTGAGTCTGAGTCCGAGTTCGAGTTCGAGTCTGAGAGGGTGAAAGCCCAAAGCGTTCATCTCCTAGACCCTGGGGGGTTTGGTGAACTCCAAAAGTATAGTAAGGGGGAGGACTACAATGGAGCCAGTTTGGCCAGGAAAGGCTAGTTTGGCCCAGGAAGGCTATACCCAGTGTTGGGTGATGAGCTGCCCACTGGGAAGTCCAAGACTAGAGTGAATACGGACCGAGAAGCGGGGTAGTTTGGTGAAGTGTTCAAGAGCCAACTTTAGTTCCCTTGGGAGATCGATTGGCCGATGCTCCCAATCCAAGTGTGGGTGGCACTACCTATTTGGATACCTGGTGTGGCTCAACGGAACCTCGCTCCAAGCCCATGGCTAAAGCACCCAAAGGTAGAAGGTGGGGAGAGTACCCAGGAGGTCTGCGTAAGACCACGGTGTTCCAAAATGTTGCCCCAAGGTCCTAGACTGTGAAAAGGAAGAGGAGCCATCATATAGTGTAGAGACCAAGGATGTAGTCATGTGAGGAGGAAGTCCCAGAGGACCGTGGGACTTAGTGGTCGGGCTTGTGGGCCTTGATCCAGTGGCAGTGTTGGCGAACACGGCCATGGGCAGAAAAGGGACTTAGTGGGGACTAGAAAGGGGATGTTGGGGAAGGCTATTCCCCATATCTGTGGGCATCCTAAGGATGCTAAAGAGTGGATCTGGGATGATCACTCATGCACAGATGACTTAGTCTTTGAGAGATGGGACTGTAATGTAGGTGGTGTCAGACCACCAATGTGACCAAGGTGAATGAGCATGGCCTTAGCGTAACGGGCTGATATATCGGTGGTACCTTGGGGTGTTGGTCATGGGATCGGACACATGGAGCACTTGGACCAAGTGCAATGGTTGAATGGCATGGATGCCATTTTTGGGGGGTTAACAAGTCCCTAAATCCAAAATATGATTTATGGAGGTTGTAAGTGAAACTCCTCCAAGTGGTTGAAGGTGTGGTTAAGTGACTAAAGTAGAATGGAAAATTTAGTCGCTTACAAATTGGAGCAATATTAACATAATCACACCTCACAATACCAAAAGTTCGATCCAATGAAGTAGCATTAATAACTTCAAGTGATATACTCCTTGATCAATGACAGCGTTGCATGGTAGGAGAAGAGAATGCAAGAAGATCAGAAGAAAAAATAAATCTAAACATAGTGATGGCTAGAGTTCTAAATCTTGCAAAAAGTTAATATAAATTTAAATTTCAAAGAAGAAATATGAATAAAAAGCACAATCCTGAATACTAAAGCAAAGTATTGTCAAAAAGTTTTGCCCTTTAACGACAAATTGCAATGCCCTTCATCTCCACCAATGTAAGTGCTCAGGATATGGAAATATATATATTAATTAAGGTTTAGACCCTTGCTTATATACAATAATAGATGGACTTCCCAAATGGACAATCAATATACTATAGTATTATAATTAGTGTATTACCTAGCTAGGGTAATATATGCATATACACATGTATTTACAAACTTTACACTTAGAAAATAAATATACTTATTAAAATCTTAAGTTTATAATATTTATTAATAATGAGAACAACCAACATTAATAAAAAAAAAAAGAATATCACTTTTTCAAAGAGCTGCTTAATGCAAAATCAAACTTTGGGTGATTTTTTATTTGCTTAAACAAACCTATATAGGGATTGGGATGGTAGTGAATATACCTAAAATATGCTTAGATATTTTAGGATATTCTACTATCTAATGGTTATTATTCATTTAGATTAATCTTGTATTTATAATTTATAAAATTTCTTAACTCTTTCTAGTATATTCTTTTTTATTTTATTATCTACTGATTGATATGCAATAAGATTAATCTTGTGTTTATAAATTACAAACATGCTTATTAATAAGTAAGAATAACACTATTATTAAAAAAATCAAGCATTCCTACATGCAAGGGGTAGCAAATTATTGTTATTACAAGTCAAACAAGTTGCATGCCATTTGATGGAAAGTTTGATGGCATTTCATCAATAGAAAAAAACTCACAATGCTCTGTGATTGAGGTTTAGCTAGAACTCAGGGCCAGAGGTTAATTTGGATCTCAGCTGGGTGCCATGACATATTTACTATAGTCATGAACTGTTGATGACCTTGACTCCTTGTCATTGTAATACTTCAGGCTGAATCTCAGGTGAGACTGTTTTGCACAATTGCTTCTTCCTCATTTTCATTTAGATGGATTTATAAGTAGTTCTGAGCATGTCTTTGATTGACATTTGGGAGGATTATCAAGCTCCACCGTGACAATGCTTTGCAATCTTACTACTTGGGTGATGGAAGCTGCGCTACCGCTAGCACAGTAACAATCTAGCTATCTCGCCCGCAGCATTGGCGATGAGCTTGGATTTCGATCACAGGTAGTGTTATTCTTTAGTGTAATGTATTCTTAAGTAGTGTACTGTACAAGTCAAAAAGATTGTGATCTAGAAAATGGCGGCGGGGTTTCCTGCCTGGGCCTCGCTGACGATGGCGCTGCTCTGGATCACAATCGGTTTCCCTTCCAGTTGCAACATCATACTCCCGAGAACTTGCCTCAGGTACTGCTCGAACATTTCCCTGTCTATCAAATTTTCATGGTGGTTTTTATGCGAGGCCGCTCCACCATTGTCCATCATTTTGAGTGCTCCAATGATCTCGGAATCCATCTACAAAGAAGAAGGTTTTTAGTTGTTCCAGAGTTGGAACTCTTTTCTCCCACAAGAAGTATATTCACCTCTTCGATTGCTCCAAGCGGTGGCAAACCAGCTCGAGGTGAGACGAAGTCCAAGCCAAAGATGAAGTCATCCTTTTTTATGGAGCCGTTCTTTTCTTTTGGCAGCGTTTTCCAGGCCTCGGAGATTACCTGTTGCGCGAAGCGAGAACCTATCAGATGTAACATGGAGGGAATTTTGTGCTTTTACCTTCTTGGATGCTTTCTTGTCGCTCAGGAAGGCTTTGACACTTTGGCCGTCGAATTTCTTTCGTACGTGAGCCACAGTGAGAGGCTTCTCGGACATGATCGTCGACATCTCCAGCAAAACTTTCTTGAAGAGCTCCACATACTCGTTTTGATCGATCAGGGCGTCCTCGTTAACTCCCGATCTCGAGAGAGCAGCATCCACCACGGGCAAACTCGCCTGGAAGAAAAAGAGTTTAAACACTCCGAGGAAGCTCACACAACCCCAAAGAAGAACACTATTGACAACTCAATAAGATCAAATATCCAGAGGCTGGAGGAAAAAACTTTTGGAAGAATGTACCTCGGCGTACGGTGGAGCTCCATGGTCGACCGAGAGCCGTTTCAAAGCGTCCCTGAGAACCGACGCTTTAACTTTACCAGTGCTCTCAAGATCATTCTCCACGAAAGCATTCACAGCGCTGATCTCGGCGTCGGGGTGACGGGCATACTCCCGGAGCTTCGATCCATCCAGGGACATGACGTTGATCGGCTCTCGCTCCAGACCATCCGCTAGTCCCAGGAGTATCTCACGAAGAACCACCGCAAACTTCTCCTTGGAAACTTTCTTAGCTCGTCCATCCAGGAAGGATTTCATCACCTACAAGAATGTTTTTCTTGATCAGGAACACCATGTCATCCAACTTTTCTAGCTAGGAGAACCAACCTGATCGTAGATGGGATCAGTATCGGGAGAAGATCCCTGTGGAGGGAGGCCAAGCGCTCCACCGATCCCAAGAACCGCGGGCTTGAGCTCCTGGGGCGTGAGATCCCCCGTGTGGCTCGCATCCAGCGCACTAAACTTCCCGTCCACGAACCTCGCAAATGCGGTCTTGTCTTCCACCAGCGCCTTGATGCTCGATCCATCCACAACTCCATCGTTGCCCATTCCAACAATCTCGTCCTCCCGCTGCTGCTGCTGCTGCGTCGCCATAGCTCGTCGCCCAAATCGATCACTCGATAGAACGAAAGAAAAAACTTCCTTTTTCTCAGTGAAAAATGAGGAAGAATAGAGGACAAGGAAAGAGATCTCCTATCTACACATTTGGGGCATTGAACGCTTTTATATACTTCGTTCGTCCCTGGGTGTGCTTTTCCAACATAAAGTTACGTGTCGCGCTAGACACCCTCACAGTTGGCGTGCCACAAAGCTGACGCGTGGACAATACTATACAGTCGTGTCGTGCTCATACGTAGTTTCTTACGTGAAAGCTTTATTAAACTCGTGAGCTATGAGAAAACCACACACATTATGCTTGTGTATGGGGTTGGTCTTTGTGTGCTGACTTTTAAGCTCGAGCTTCCGCGAATCTCGAAAATTAGGGTTCTAACTAAAGCGTTGACTATTGGTCTCAACGTGGTTCCTACCTATATCTTCCAGGATCCACCCATCTCTGAAACTTTCTCGTGCAACGATAGAACGTCATCATTCGATTGGTGACACGTCATCATTGGCCGGAAATTTTTTATTTTGCTTTGCGTGATGATCTACGATTCTTTCTGGCAAAGCCCTAAAAAGGAGAACCAGCTCTAGGGCAGGGGCGAGGGCGGTGTTTTGGGGGGCTGGAGCTCCGCCGCGTGCGCGATCCGAGCTAGGTATGTGCGATCGATGAGCTGCATTTTCGGTTTTGATCGATCTCTCTCTCGCGCGTCGGTGCTACAGGAACATGATCAATCTCTTCTCGGTGAAGAAGAAGCAGCAGGAGGCTGCGCAGAACAATGCGAATGGGAGAGCGCCGATCAAGAAGCAGAGCCCTGGAGAGCTGCGCGTCCAGAAAGGTAATCCACTCGATCCACCAATCGACTGAGAGCTTCTTCCTTTCTTTGTTCTTCAGATATCACGGAGCTTAATCTGGCCAAGACCACTTCGATCACATTTCCTATGGGAAAGGACAACTTACTGAATTTCGAGATCACGATCTGTCCCGATGAAGGCTACTACCAGTAAGCAAGAGTTCTCTCAGTTCCCAGCGAAAGTTTCGATTTTTTTCTAGCTAAGTAATGCGTTTTGGTTCTTCCAGAGATGGAACATTTGTTTTCTCTTTCCAGATCTCTCCTTTATATCCACACGAGGCACCCAAAGTGAAATGCAAAACAAAGGTAAGTTTGCTCTTTTCCTTTCATTGTTTCACTAGCTTGTCTCGCAGGTTTATCACCCGAACATAGATTTGGAAGGAAACGTTTGCCTCAACATCTTGAGAGAAGATTGGAAACCCGTGCTGAGCATAAACTCCATTGTCTACGGCCTCCAATACTTGTTCCTAGTAAGCGATCTACTTCCAAATCTCTAGCAAAAGTTTTGATCCTTTGCTCGTTGCTATAGGATCCCAATCCCGACGATCCTCTAAATCACGAAGCGGCCGAGGTGTTGCGAGATCACCCCAGACAATTCCAGGCCAACGTAAAGAGATCCATGGCTGGGGGCTACATCAACGGCCAGCACTTCACGAGATGCATCTAATCTAATGATCCGACGGTCTAGGTTGTAACATACCCTCTTTGATTCGAACCCCGGACCTATTACTCGTGTTTTTGCTATGGCGTCATCGTCATGGAAATGGAAATGGCGCCCTCTTTCTAAGCTCGCCAGGAATTTCGTAAGCGCTGGAAGGATTTTCTAGGGTTTGTGTGATTGATCCATCGCAGGCGAGTAGCGCGCTCGTAATCGCGGAGCACGGAGGAGGATCGGTGAAGAACGGATCGATCAGCGCCGTCGCTGCCGCTGCGGCCGCATTAGGCGATTCTTCGCCCGTGACGTTGCTCGTAGCTGGATCGGGGGGAGCGGAGCTCGACGCGGCAATCCAGCACGCGAGCTCGGCTCATCCGGCAGTCTCTCAGGTTCTAGCAAAAATTCGTTTGTTTTGGTCGATTCGATCGAGTTATAGAGCAGGTTCTGGTAGCTCGATCGCCGCTGCTGGGGCAGCCATTGGCGGAGCCATGGGCGGAGCTTCTTGTCCAAGCCCAGAAGAAGGGAAATTACTCTCACATATTCGCTGCGTCTTCGTCGTTTGGAAAGGATGTGTTGCCCCGAGCGGCAGCGCTGTTGGGAGTCTCTCCAATCACAGACGTGACTCGAACGATCGATCAACACACGTACATCAGGTATTCTCTCGTTGATTTAAGCTAGAGCTTGATGATTTTTTCTTTGTGTTCTTTCTTTTTCTTCCTTCACAAGACCAATCTATGCAGGAAATGCTATGGCTACTGTGAGGTTTAAAGGCTCCGGTCCATGCATTGTAAGCATTAGAGCAACATCCTTTCCAGCAGTTCCCGGGCTCGCATTAACCGGAGTTGGCCATCCTTCCATCGTCGACTTCGATGCTTCGTCTCTTTCTTCGGGTAAGCTTTCAAGAAACTTTTAAGAACTGAAGAATAGAGAGGAAATTTACGTGATGAGTTCCACAGGAGCGATTGGAAAGTCGAAGTGGATTGGTTTGTCTTCGCAGCAAACGGAGCGGCCAGAGCTGGGTGCCGCAAAAATCGTGATCTCTGGGGGCCGGGGACTCAAAAGCGCAGAGAACTTTGAGTTGCTAGAGAAACTTGCTGACAAGCTTGGAGCCGCTGGTAAAGTTTTTATATTTGTTTCGTCCTGTTTTCATTCGTAATGTATATGCAGTGGGAGCATCGAGAGCCGCAGTTGATGCTGGATTTGTTCCGAACGACATGCAGGTGTGATCGACTCGAAGAATTCTTGCTCTCAGTTTTTAATGCCTGAGAATGTCTTGTAGATTGGACAGACTGGAAAGATTGTGGCGCCAGAGCTTTATATTGCCGTAGGAATTTCAGGAGCTATACAGCATCTCGCTGGAATCAAAGACTCCAAAGTTATCGTTGCTATCAACAAAGATCGAGACGCTCCAATCTTTCAGGTTCTTTCCCTGACTTGGTTTTCCAAGTTTCGAGTTTTTCTTTCTCGTCAGGTCGCGGATTACGGTCTTGCTATGGATCTCTTCGAGGCGCTTCCAGAGCTGGTCGCTAAAGTTCCCTCTAAGCGACTATAAACGATGAATTCATCGTTTGTATACAACCTGTTTCTTCGATCGAATAAAAATCCCGCGCGAGTTCTTCTCACCTCAAGTAACGTTGATTCCCGTGTCCATATATTCCTCACACATTGCTTCGTATCTCTCCAGATCATTCGATCTCCATTCCTGAAAGGAAGATCTAAGAAAAAAAGAAACGAAAATCCGGAAGAGTTTTACCTCGTAGTCCCAGCTTCCAAACAAATCCTTGTCTTCCGGATCACCCCAAACATACACGAAAGCTGTGAGCGTAATGCTTTGATCCTGCGAGAACAAAGAAAATAATCATAGAACTTGTGATCTAGCGAAAGAAGGAAAGGGAATCACCAGTAAGCAAGGCTCCACAGTAAGTCTCTTATATTCCTCTCCCTCGAAATCGTCCATGACTTGAAGCTCCTCGTGTGTTAAATCGAGTAGAACCTTCTCAAACGAATTTCTATCGTCAAGGATCAAAAGAATTCACGGAAGCTCTATACCTTTCCTTTGATTCTGTCCCCCTTCCTGTAAGTAGCACCGGGATAGACGCGATTGCGCACGCTGAATCGATGGCTGCGATAAAATACGACATCGATGAATTCAGCAGTGGAATTTGATCGATCGAGCGACTTACTAATCGGCGAGCACAGCGTCGCAGCTCGATGGAACGCGCTTGATCAGGATGCGCACAATTTCATCTGCCAGGAGCGTCCCATAGACGAACACATTGCCGTTGGCCATTTCTTCCTTCTTTTCCCAAGAACCCTAATTTCGAAATATTTCTAGGGTTATGGGGAGGAAGAGGAAGAGAGCTGGAGCCGGCGATGGCGACGGCGATGGCGAAGAAGGGAGCGCCAGGGTCAGGGTGAAAGGCAAGCACGACAAGCCGAAGCCGTGGGACACCCCCGATGTGGATCACTGGAAGATTGTGCCCAAGCCGGAGCAGTGGAGTGGACTCGTCGAGCAGAGCTCCTTCTCGACGCTCTTCCCGCAGTACAGAGGTACATTCTAGTGATTTCGCGTCCCAGCAATGCGATCGTTGCCGGCTTCGCAGAGAAATATTTGCAGGATGTTTGGCATTCTGTGGCTCGTGCTTTGAAGGAGCATGGCATCAAAGGGGAGCTTAATCTTGTATGTATCGCAGTGTTTTCTTCTTGTTCTAGATCTTTATGGTTGTGATACAGGTAGAGGGATCAATGACTGTCAGCACCACTCGCAAAGTTCAAGACCCCTACATTATCATCAAGGCCAGGGACCTTATCAAGCTTCTCGCCCGCAGTGTTCCTGCTCCTCAGGTGATAGTTCTCTCTATGCTTGATTCTTTCTTATCTGTTTGTTTGTTTCTCAGGCTTTGAAGATTCTGGAAGACTATATGCAATGCGATATCATCAAGATCGGCAATCTTATTCGAAACAAGGTAAGATTTTTTGTTTCCTGGTATTTTACTGAGGAGTTATGAACAGGACCGCTTTGTGAAGCGTAGGCAGCGCCTTTTAGGCCCGAATGGTGCAACTTTAAAGGTTTGCTTATGAAAGTTTCGTTTTTGGTGACCACATTTTGTCTCTAGGCACTGGAGCTCTTAACTGGATGCTACATTCTAGTTCAGGTACTGCAATGTTGTTTTCGATCGCTCCTGTCTTAGATGTCTTTCAGGGAAATACGGTTGCTGCAATGGGTCCATTCCAGGGCCTCAAAACTCTCCGCCGCGTAGTAGAAGACTGCATTCATAACATTCATCCTATTTACCATATCAAGGCTCTCATGATCAAGAGGGAGCTTGCCAAGGATCCGGCACTAGCTAATGAGAACTGGGAGAGATTCTTGCCGAAGTTCAAAAAGTAAGTTATATGCAGTTGTTAACATCGAGTTCTCACGGGCCATCTCCATGGCAGGAAGAACGTACAACGGAAGAAGTCGAAGAAGGAAAAGAAGCCGTACACACCTTTCCCTCCTCCACAACAACCTAGCAAGGTATGCTGTTTCATGTTTACTCATATAACGACACCTAACAATTGGAGGTTCTGCAGATTGATTTGCAGCTAGAAAGTGGAGAGTACTTCCTGAGCGCGGAGACGAAGGCCGCGAAGAAGTTTGAGGAAAAGAAGCAGCAGCAATTGGAAAAAGCGGCCGAGAACAAACGCAAACGCGATTCGTCGTTTGTTCCTCCAAAGGTGCGTTTGCGTCTTCACAACAACACTGAGTATCTTGTTACCGGGTTTGTTTCAGGAAACCAAGAAATCTGAAAGAGCTGGAACATCTTCAGGGGTCTCGAAAGCCGATGTCACTGCAATGGCCCAAAACTTGAAGGTACGTCATACTCGGGTTGTTCTCGTTACGTTTATGATCGTCGTGCTTCCTTTCCAGGAGAAATCAGAGAAGGTTTTGCCTAAACAAAAGCGGATTGATGACTCTGTACAGAACTACCTCGCATAATGCTCTCTGACACGTGGCATGCATCAAGCCCGTTGTTTTCTTGAGGTGCACATTCAAAATATGAGGATTGTTCTTTGAGGCTTTTGTTTTCCACTCTCTTCGTCATGGCTGCGTCCTCTGCAATCAGAGGCTATGGCGCATCCGCTGCATCGTTTGATGGTTTAATGCAGGCACGAAAGGATACAGCAAGAACATGTCAAAACAGGAGCCTCTCTTATGCGAGAACTGACCAATTTCTAGCTTCGGATTTCACTCAGAATGTCGTCCGGCAGGTAGATTCTGAAAACTTGATCTTTGCGGCTCTATCTCGCTAATCTGCTTTGAGATGCAGGCCACAGATCGGACGAGGCTTCGAACTCAAGCAGTCCGACGAGTGTCCATTGTTACCACAGCTTCCAGCGATACTCCGACGAAGAAAATCTTGATGATGGGAGGAACTCGGTTTATTGGAGTTTACCTGGCAAGGTTGCTTGTGAAAGCTGGACACGAGGTTGAAAATCTATTTTAACATAGAAGGTGAAAGTTCACAGTTTTTTTGCAGGTGACTCTCTTCACTCGTGGAAAAACACCAGTCACTCAAAAGATTGCCAGCGAAACGGACCAAGAATACGCAGAATACTCCTCTAAAGTACGTTGTCACCAGCTGCAGTTGGTTTTTATCTTTTTAGTTGCTGTCTTTAGGTAAAGCACATTCAAGGAGATCGTCAAGACTTCGATGGAATGAAGAGCAAAATTGCCAGTGCTGGTTTCGAGATTGTTTATGACATAAACGGTAAAGTAATTCACAAGTGCTCTCGAAATGAAGTTTCTATTGACAGGGAGGGAGGCTGTCGAAGTTGAGCCCATTATCGACGCAATTCCAAGCCTTAAGCAGTAAGTGAACTTCTCAAGAAACGAAAAAGTTCTCTTGCTTTCTTGAAACAGATACATTTATTGTTCTTCGGCTGGAGTGTACTTAAAGTCGGACTTACTTCCCCATTTTGAGGTGAGGCTTGTTGAAGGATCATACGTTTGCTGAATTCCACTGTGCAGGTTGATGCTACTGATCCGAAAAGCAGGCACAAAGGAAAACTTGACACTGAAGCGCTGCTGCAAAGCAAAGGAGTGCCCTGGACCTCCATCAGACCAGTTTACATCTACGGCCCTCTCAACTACAATCCAGTGGAAGAATGGTTCTTCCATCGCCTCAAAGCTGGCAGGCCAATTCCTATTCCAAACTCCGGCCTTCAAATCACGCAACTTGGTCACGTCAAGGTGCTTGGTTTTGCGGCTGCTTTATTCGTTACTCACGTCTACGATTGCAGGATCTGGCTGACGCATTTGTCCGCGTTCTGGACAATCCAACAGCATTTGGTCAAGTCTACAATATCTCGGGAGCGAAGTATGTAACGTTTGCTGGCATTGCTCGAGCTTGTGCCAAGGTATGAACAGACTTTGCTGCTTGGAATTAAAAGCAACGAACAAAACAATTACAGGCCGGTGGCTTTCCCACTCCGGAGCTGGTCCACTACAACCCGAAGGACTTCGACTTTGGAAAGAAGAAATCATTCCCGCTGCGCGATCAAGTAAAAGTTTCTAGCTCATGTCTCATGCGGTTTTCTCATCGGCCTTGTTGCAGCATTTCTTTACCTCGATCGAAAAAGCGAAGAATGATCTTGGCTGGAGTCCCAAGTATGGACTGGTAGACGGTCTCACAGATTCCTACAACCTCGATTTCGGGCTGGGAACGTTTCGTAAAGCAGCCGATTTCTCAACCGACGATATGATTCTGGAGAAACTGGGGATCAAAGTTGCTGTTCCGGCCTAGAACCAGAAACAAGGTACCGCAAATTACAAAAAGCTAGAGTGGGGTAAGAAAAAGGAAACAAAGCAGCGTCAGCTAGCTCCGTGTCACTCATTCCTTTTTAGCAGCCTCTTCGAAGTTCTCTCCGGGAACCAGGTCGGGAACATCGTCGTCGTCGGCACCGGAGTTAGTCTGCCACTGCTGAGCAATCTTCTTCAAGTTCGCGAGATTGTCCGGGCCTGAAAAAGAAGAAAAGAATGGAGATCCAATGTTTCTTTCAAAACGAACGAAAATAAAGGATTTGAGAAACGTACCCAGCTGGTTTACAATGCTTGGTAGCAAATCTCGAAGCTCTGGAATGGAGAAAGAGAGAAAAGTTCCAGTAAGAGCAAAGAAAAAAAGGAGAGATGGACATACTTTTGGTGGATGAAGCTCCGCTCACGACCCAAGTGTTGGCAACGATGGAAGCTTGAACTGCGAAAAGATAGAAGAAGAAATCCATCAAACCATTCGTCCACGCAGAGATTTCCATTCTTACCTTTGGGATTGACGAAGTGAATGACGGTATCGTCCTTGAAGATATTCACCTCCTCAATGCCGGGGATGGTGTTGACGCCCAATCTCTTGAGCGTGTTTTGCAACCTCTTGTCGTCGGTGGTCGCGGTCTTGTGCACTGCCTTCTTCTTCCTGCGATTGCCAGAATTCTCACCAAAATCTTCCAATCTAATCCCAAATCTTTACCTCCTCACAGTTCCCTTCCCTCCCGTCCGCACGGCGGTGGCCATCTTCATGAGCCGGTCGCGATCCATTGCGGCTGGGCAGCGCGCGGCGCAAAGAATGGCAAATCTTGGAAGGAGGAACCCCAAAACCCTAGCCCCAATAGAGAGGGAGGGTTTTTCTTTTAGGGTTCTTCATTTCAGGGATTTTACAAGGTTGGAGAGCAAGGAATAGGGAGCGGTGCTGCGACTGTCGACTCCGTTCGCTCGCTGGGCTGCTCCAAATGCTCGCTCTGGATCGCTGTGGATCGAGCAGCCGCCCAGCAAAGTCACCCACGACACGAGGTTTGGCTCGAATGGCATGTTTGCGGCCACTTCTTGGGCATCAAACAAACGCCCATTTCGACACAAGAGATCGATGAGGCAATTGTAGTGATCCAGCGATGGAACCAGGTTGTAATCCCCCATGAACGAGCTGAAAAATTGGCAGCCGTGGGTGACGAGCCCTGCATGGCTGCATGCGATGAGAATTTTTGCAAAGGTGACGGTGTCCGGGAGGATTCCATCCAATCCCACGAGACGAAAGAGCTCCAGGGCCGTGTTTCCACGTCCGTTTTGTGCGTAAGTTGAGATTAGCGCTGTCCAGGCGACCAGGTTTCGTTCGTGGAGTTCCTCGAAGATTGTACGGGCGGTGATCACGTCCCCGTGTCGGCCGTACATGTAGAGCACGGAAGTTCCCAGGGCCGTGTCCGATCGGAGAAGCTCGCTGGGAATGCTGCTGTGAAGGATTTTGCCTTGGGCTATGGATTTGCAGCTCTCAAGTGTGTCGATGAGAGAAGATTTCTCCACTTTGACGCCCTCCAAGTCCATTTCTCGCAAGAACACTAGCGCTTCTTCTTCTTCTCCCGAGAGAGCACAGAGCATGGAGTTGTACACCAAACTTGATCGATTCATCTCATTCTGGAACAAGAGTTTCGCATCGACTAGACTCTCACATCTAGCGTACATTTTGACGAGACTGGACAAAACCTCGTGATCCAGATCGAGACTCTCGTACGCGGCACATTTGTGGACGATTCGCGACGCGTCCAAAGCTTGCGGCGATCCAAATCCATCGATGAGGCTCAAAAACGTGATCCTATTTGGCTGAAGACCCTCCAAATCCATGGCTCGAAACAAGCTCAAAGACCTCCTGTGATCCCCTCCAAAGATCATCGTCGTCCACGTCACCACATTCCTAGCGGGCATCACCTCAAACAGCCAATCGGCCTCGCCCAAAGCTCCATGCTGGACGCAGCCCGCCAGCATGGCATTCCACGTCACGCTGCTTCTCTCGGGCATGCCCATGAAGATGCGAATGGCATCCAGCAAATTCCCATCACGGGCATATGCCGTTAACGCCAAAGTCCACGACACAAGATCCCATAGAGGCATCCGACGGAGTATCTCATCCGAAAAACAAGCCTCAACGAGAGTGTTCCAGCTGACGATATTACGCTCCAAGATTCTATCAAACGCACTGCGCGCTAGATCCGGAGATTCCATCCTCCCGTACGTTTTGATCAGTGCCGTACCCATCGCCACCTCGGTGTCAAGTCCTCGGCTGCAAATCTCCGCGTGGAGGAACTTCAAATGGATGCGATCGACAGCGTCTAAAATGCTCAAGAGTGTGATCCTGTTGCAATGGATCCCTTCCAGGTCCATTTCCAGCAAAAGCGCCACTGCGTTGCTACATTCCCCATGTAGAGCAAATGCCGAAATCATCGAGTTCCAAGACGCAACATCCCTCTCGGGCATTTTTTCAAAGAGATCCTTCGCTATATCTATCGACTTGTTTTGCGCATACCCAGATATCATTGCGTTCCACAACACCAAGTTCGTCTCTGGTATCAGCCCGAAGAGCCGCGCAGCGAGATCAAGATGCCCGTTTTGGGCATATGCCGCGACCATTATGTTCCAAGAGTAAAGATTCCTCTTCCTGATCTTCTCGAATGCTTGCTTGCATTGAGCGAGGTCCCTGCACTGGCCATACATTTGGACGAGCAGATTGCCCATGAAAGTTTCTTGGTCTGCGCCATCTCTCGCAAGAATCCTGTGCAAGCGACGGCCTTCTTCCAGAGCCAAGGATTTGCCACAGTGACGGATCAAAACAGTGAATCGTGATTGTATCGGGTATCTCTCTAGCTCCAGGATTGATCGATGCAGCTCTTCCCTCAAGATCTTCATCCAGCTTTCGGCGAACCATTGAAGAAGAAACCAAAGCTTGAATATTTGGAATATACCTAGAAAATGCTTAACTGGTAATTAAGTTAAGTCCATTTTAATTCATCTGTATTTTATTTTAATGAGAGGCGTATTGGTGTGAAAGCTTTATGGCGGTAAACTAGGGTTCTTGCGGAAGAGCGCCAGATCCGGATCACAGGCATGGTGAAGCTGACAGTTATAGCTCGGATCACTGATGGCTTGCCACTCGCCGAAGGTATGGACACTGGATTAGAGGAGAAGGAACTGGATTTTTACAAGCAGCAGGCCAAGTCGCTGTTCAAGCGGCTGTCGCATGGGCAGAATCAGCCGTCGAGGATGTCAGTGGAGACTGGCCCCTATTTTTTTCAGTGAGTTCTTCTGGATTCTTCGCGAGAATTTGAGCTCGTTGGGGTTGAGATTGATTTCTTTTTTCTTTTTCTTTCTCGATTGTAGCTATCTCATTGAAGGGAGAGTTTGCTACCTTACTCTTTGCGATCGATCCTACCCGAAGAAGCTCGCGTTTCAATACTTGGAGGAGCTGCAGAGGGAATTCGAGCGGCTGAATCACTCGCAGATCGAGACTGTTGCGAGGCCGTATGCCTTTGTCAAATTTGGTGGGTGATTTTTGCTCTTTGTTTTGACTGTGTAAGTCTAACGATGCGATTGTTTTGCAAAGATATATTCATCCAGAAAACCAGGAAGCTCTACCTTGACACGAGAACGCAGCGGAACTTGTCCAGACTCAACGACGAGCTGTACGAAGTCCAGCAGATAATGACGAGAAACATTCAAGAGGTTTTGGGCGTTGGTGACAAGCTCGATCGTAAGCTTTCTTTCTTCTCTTCGTCTTCGTCAAACTCTTCCTCTTCGATTGTTTCCTCTCTTGGTTTTTTAACGTTATTTTCATCTTTCGCAGAGGTAAGCCAGCTCTCAACCCGCTTGACGGCCGAATCACGCATCTTTTCGGACAAAGCTCGAGATCTCAACAGACAGGTATCTGCTCGCAAGTTTCCTTACCACCGCTAATGAAAAAACGTGAAACTTGCAGGCTCTCATTCGAAAGTGGGCACCAGTTGTGATCGTGCTTTCCGTAGTGTTGATCTTCCTTTTCATGCGGAGATCTATCTGGGGCTAGGAATGAAACAAGAAAGAGTGGGTGTTGTTTAAAGAGCTCTACAGAGGCATTCAGAGGAAGACAGAAATCGATTATCATTTTTCTTCTTGAGTGGAAGATTGATTAAAAAAATAAGAAGGTTTCTTTGAGTAAATCACAGAAAAGAACGTGCTGAAATGGTCAACAGCACGGCCATTCTGTAAGTGATATGATCGAAGCCCAAACCTCAATCATATAGAATTTAGAATTTTTGAAGATTTTCAGCATACATAGATTCAAATAAAGACACAGATTAAAGAGAACTATAATTATATTTGCAAGCATATTTCTCAATCTATCCCTACAATCTAAAAACTTCCCAAAGTCATCACACACTGCTGACTCATCCTAGGGGAACTCACAAAAATCTGTAGGGAAACTCAAGAAAAGTGTACATTTTGAATGGCTTTGGCTTGCTTTTAACCGTCTCTGTGAAAGGCTAGATGTGATTAGCCCTCCGGATGCATTTGGTCTTAATACAGACTTGCAATTGAAAGATATTGTAAACATTTCTACATGGGTAGGTTGGAAATGCCTTGTTGCCACAACTTAGCCTTGAGGATCCAAGGGGTAGCATAGTCATTTGCTAGCTTTGTCATCTCCTTCCATAACAAAGCTATGCAATCATCCATAGCCACAAGCTATGCAGAAAAGATTTGGACGATTTTCTTGGAGGGAAGAATGTAAGCCTCAATTTTTTTGAGTTTTCCTTGAGTTTCTTGGTTTTAGGATGAATCAACAATGTGTAATGACTCATTGTATAGAAAATATAAGTTAAGATTGCACATTTTGGAATTATTGAAATTGTAAGGGTAATTTGGGAAAAATATAAAAATTATCATAGAGTTGTATTGGTAATTTTCCATTTCTAAAATTAAAACATAAATAAGTGGATACTTTCACCAAGCAACAATTTGAAGAATATTTTATATATAGAGTGGCCCAAACATTTCAATAACAACATCAGAGCACCAAAGAGAAGGCTAATGGTGTGCCCAAATCCAAGGACAAAATTTTAGCTCACACCATTTTAGGAATATTTGCAAAACTTTATATTAGACTGTAGGCTAAAAACACAAGTATCAAAATACAAGATAAGGATGTTATACTTTTAACAGTTTGATTGAATTAAAAGGTTTATATAAAGAGTCTAAAGTTAGTTATGCTAAATTTGCCATCACTACGAAAATAGTGTATCTTGAGAGCCCTGATTCCTGATACTTCTCATGTAAGATTATTAACAAATGGAATTCAATATCACAATCTCATATAGCATGTAAATGTTTTGAGGTTAAGCACGAAAGTATAAACTACTAGATTATTTGATATAAAAGTCCATCTTCATCTATAGAACTTTCCTAAATTAGTATTAATCAAACTATGAATAGAAAGTCTACTCCCTCTTTTTGAGGAACTTATCTTTGATTTAGAAGGTATATTCTTCTATCATGTATACCAAAAAGGGAAATAAAAAGTCCATAGGACGATCTACATCACTCACAAGGAGATAAGAGGCTGCACAGGCACCAAGAGGAGAAGCAATGCAAGTGCAAACAAAAACAATATTTATACCTACGACAAAGTTCTTTTACATTAGGTTTCTGAGTCTCTAGAGCACTCTACATTCTTGATTTTAATTCAACTCTTTTTCACAATTCTCCACTTCCTTAAATAGTAATTTAAATAAATTTAGCTTAAGCTTGCAATTCTTTACTTTTAAATATTTCAGATTGGGTGTCAAGAATAGGTTTTGAGGATAATATGCTTAGATATTCTTAACAACAATTATGAAATAAAAACTTTTAGTGACACTCAAATCTGGAGTCGTCTCAACTTAAAAATCTAACAAATGTGATATGACCTTTGCAATAATTAATGCAATAGTAACTCCATCAACACACACAGAATTAACACAAGAATAATTAATTTTAATGATTACTTTTAACTTTAATTTTTTATTAGAAATCAACACCTCCATTTCCACACTGAATCTCTATTATATAAACTATCTATTCCATGTTTAAATTTACTAATTCTTCTATTGTGTATATCAGTTCTCTTGTCCATTGTACACATATAATTTTAATATTTAGGAGTAGAAATATGCTTTATTCAAGAGTATAATATATTTTAAGTAGTTACTAATCAATAGGAATCAAACCAATACTATTTACTTTGATATTACTTATTTCTCCCTTTAAGCCAATTAGAAAAAAAAAAAGAATTGTTTAATGAGAGAGCCTTTAATGGCTGATTTCATCCCATATATCTCCCAAGGTTCTAAGAATTTAGAGTGACCATATATCCATGGTGATCATGAGACCATATGTGATCTCATGATCACATATGTCATAGTTAGTTGTGTTATTAGGAACATTATATGCAAAAATTAAAATATTTTTAGTTGGCTATAAAAATAAAAGAGAAAACTGATAGAAAAGTTGCAAAATATGTTTGTTAAATATTAATTTAAATATATTTATATTTTATTATATTAGTTCTTAAACAATTTATATTATTACCATATTAAATAGTTATTATATATTATCTTAATTTCTTATAACCTGCCTAATGGTGTTTAGGTTTTACTATAAGTAGGGAAAATGCTACTAATAAAGCTATTATATAATAATAATAATATACATTTTTATTTCTTATAGCACCCACTATATAATTGAACTATAATAATACATCACCCTCACTCTCAAACTGTTTTTTTAATTTGCAATCAGTGTTATGTTTACCAACCTGATTTTCTTGCTAGTTAAATATACAAAAGTTTATATATCTTCTCTTAAAATGATTTTCAACTTAAGCTTTAATTTAATATTTACATTTCTTATTATAGCATTTGTAGCTCTAGGAGAAAGACCAACTATTACTGCAATTGGTAAACCTTTTTCATTGACTCTTAAGAAATTTGGTATGTTAATTGCTAAAATGACAAGATATATAAATACTTTCAATGATTTTCTACAACAATTCAAGGAGATTTTTGTTGAAATTGATAAAAAAAAAATGATTAAAATTACCTTTAGTGTCCTTAGGCAGATTCTTTCTATACAATATGTAAATCTTCCAATTGTTCATATATTTTGTACAGCTGATCCTACAATTCCACAAGGGTTTAATGATAATATTTTTATACAAGCTTTTACAGCAATTCATAATCATATAATCTTAAATGCAGCATCAGAACCAAATAAAGTTTTTGCAGGAAAGGGAGAGTATAACTATTTAGAGTTTGATATTAAATATGAACTGGTCTTTTTTGATGATATGGTACTTCAAAATAATAATATCACAAACAGTTATAAGTTACATGATACTGATTATGATACTGATACATATTGTTGGCCTTATATAAAAAGCATTATTGGTGGTGGTTATGAAGTCCAATACATATATGGAAGCTATATAATGGAAGGGAAAAGTATTATCTCAGCCAAAGGGAGTTATAAACTTGAAATGAAGGACTGTATACTAAAATATATTAAAACTGTTGATAAATCTATAGTATGGTTTACTAAAATTGAAGATGGCAAAGTACATTATAAATGTTATGCACATCTACAAAGTGATGGTCATTTTTTTGTCAAAAATCAATTTCATAAAAGAGTATGGGGAAATAATGTTTTTTGTCATCAACCTTGCAATATCAGAACAAGTTTAGTCCCAAAAGACAATGGCAGTATTATAATATATGATTTGCAAAGTGGAAAGGAATGGTGGAAAGCAATTAAATAAAGTAAAGTCATTAGATAACTTGTGTCTTAAATAACATTTAATGTTGCTAATTAATGGCTTTAGTTAATGTATATACTTAAAATAAGTGTTGTGAGGTCCAAATATACAATGACAATACTGAATACTAATATTAAAGGGCTGTACACTAATATTAGTGTAGTGGGATTTTATTGGATTGGTTTTAATGTGGATCACTCACTCTTGTATATAAGTTAGGGTTTTGGGTTAATTGATATACACAT